TACCATTTCTCAGGTACCATTATGTTCCTTCTCAGGTCTTTGATGTGGTTAAAGACTAGATAGTTGTAATTTCCTCAGTTATGATAAAAGATAAGTTAGATATAAAACCTTAAACTCACAAATATAAGATAGACAGGACATCTTTAATATTGTAACTATAATTCATGCTCGATAATTGTTTTGTTATATATAATTTTACCATGTTAAAGTTAAAACCTTCCTTTTTAAAAAAAGAAGAAAAGGGGAAGTGCTTTGGATATCACTCTATATAAATAAAACACTGATGGCCAGTGACCAGACAGGAAGTATAAGCGGGACAAGGAGAGAGGAGAATTGGGGAAATAGAAAGAAGGAGGGGAGACACTGCAGCCACCACCAGGACAAGCAGCATGTAAAGACACCGGTAAGCCACCAGCCACGTGGCAAGGTATAGATTTATAGGAATGGGTTAATTTAAGATGTAAGAACAGTTAGCAAGAAGCCTGCCACGGCCATGCAGTTTATAAGTAATATAAGCGTCTGAGTAATTATTTTATACGTGGATTGTGGGATTGCAAGGCTTGGTGGAACCTGGAGAGAAGTCCTCCAGCTACAAAAAATACAATAATATATAGAAATACATACATATTTCACAATTAAAATACCATGAAAAATACTTTTTTCCTTTTAAATTTTTTTAATTGAAAATATATTCTTCTCTCATACAATACACTCCAACTGCAATTTTCCCTTAAACCATGCCTCTCAGGTTCCCCACAACCTCCATTCTCCCCCAGAACCACTGCCACACCCAAGGAGAAAGCCCTCATATTGAGGCTGGAAAAGGCAGACCAATAGGAGGGAAAGAATCCCAAGAGCAGGCAAAAGAGTCAGAAATACACCTGTTTCCATAGTTAGGAGTACCACAAGAACACCAAGCTAACAGCCATAATATATACACAGAGGAAATTCTAAAAAGCAATCCACATATTTGTTTTAAAGACAATGAAGTGTGCCATGCATATACCTTTATTATTTTAAACACATTTTACTTTTCACTCTTTGGAGTGCCTCTTTCACATCTTTGTTTCTCAAACTATAAATTAGAGGGTTCAGCATGGGGATTACTAGTGTATAAAAAAGGGAAGTCACTTTATCTTGATCTAGGGAATAAGAAGAACTTGGCCTGAAATACATGAAAAGCATAGTCCCTTGGAAAATTGCAACTGCAGTCAAGTGTGATGTGCAGGTGGAGAAAGCTTTGAATCTCCCAGAAGCAGAACGGATCTTCAAGACTGATGAGATGATGTAACAATAGGAGACCAGGACTCCTGAAATGGTGCTCAGTTCAATGAAACCAAAAATGGTGAATATGACTAACACATTGACCTGTGTATCTGAACAAGACAGCACTAAGACTGGAGGAATATCACAGAAGAAATGATTAATCTCGTTAGACCCACAGAAACATAAATGGAATGTCAATGTTGTATGTACCAAAGCATCCGCTAATGCCACAGCATAAACACCAGTCAATAACTGGAAACATACCCTGCTGGACATGTCTACTGAATACAGTAAGGGGTTGCTGATGGCCTTATATCGATCAAAGGCCATCACTGCCAGAAGCACACACTCAGCATCTATAAATATACAGAAAGTGAAGAACTGCATAGCACAGCCTAGAAAGGGAATAGTCGTGTCCTTGGACAGAAGGTCTACCAGCATCTTTGGTCCAACTGCAGTTGAATAGCAGAGGTCAGAGAAAGAGAGGTGGCTAAGGAAGAAGTACATTGGTGTGTGAAGCTGGGGGTCCATTCTGATCAAAATGATCATTCCTAGATTTGTCAGCAGATTAGTGAGGTAGACAACAACAAACATAGTGAACAGAAGCATCTTCACCTCAGGGTTGTTGGTAATTCCCAAGAGGAGGAATGCTGGCAATGAGGAGCAGTTCTCCTTGTTCATGATTTTATGTTCTTGGTCTGAAAATTTACAAAAGTCACAATGCAATAATAGCTTAGTATTTATTTTTTTGGAAAAGCATAAAATAGTTTTGAATATAACTATTCAGAACATTATTTAATATTTAAATAAATTTTCATAAAATCTAAAAACATTTCAGAAGAAAAATGTAATGTTTACATCAGTGCAGCGCTGTTAAGGAAAACATGGAATAAGAAACTAATACACTTTGAATTTAAATCACATAATTCTTGATCTGTATTAACTTTGTTTGCTCTCTTTCACTTATTTTCATGGCAGTGGATTTAAATATAGTAAAACTTGATTTCTAACCTGACAAGCCATAAGGATATCAGATGAGATGATAATAATAATACCAGTAATAATAATTGAACATGCCATATTGTGAAATAAGGTTTTCAATTTTTATAGGCTATTATTCACTGCATTCTTTCAGCAGGATTTGCCATCAGCAGATATCCTTTAATATAATAAAATGATTATAGTAAGGAGTCTTTGTAGGTTTTACTGGGTGTGAAGTATTATTTGCTGAAATGTCTGTCACTAATCACCATTTGCATGCCAAGATTTATAAGCACTGAACATCACTTACCTAAGTCCAAATGACAAAAGCTAAATAAAACACACAAGAAGAGCCAGGAGTGACAGAATACAGCAAAAGCCTCAGTTTGTTATTGATTTCCATCTTTTTCATTTTTAAAATTTTTAAGTTTTTTAAATTAATATAGATTTTTGTCATATTCTTCCCCTCCCCAAAATCTTTCCAGATACTTTCTCCAGTCCTACCAATGTAAGTCAAATACACTAAGATAGAAAGAAAGACTGTCACTGGTCATTAAATGAAACTTGTTTTCTCTCCTTTTTTCTTCTAATAATTCAGGGTTGAACAATTTTATACATCATCAGCTTGATTTTTAACATTTTCAAAGACAGTGAAATTTAATTTATTTTCATTTTCAAACACTGCCATTCTGAAACCTACCTGAGATGAGTGTCTTCCTGTCCTATTATCTGGCACCTGAACATAGGTAGATCCTTTTATTTCAACTAGAGACTGTTGGGACTTAAATCTCTCAAGGCTCTTCATCCAGACTTTTATTTAAATATAATTAATTAATTTCTCATTATACCTTCCCTTATGAGTCATGCAACAGTTTTACCAAAGTTTTACATTTTCATCTTTCTTACTGACTCCATCTTGACCAGTGACAGTTATTGACTACGTTCCTTTTAACAATATGCCACATGGTTATTATGAGTTGATTTGCTCATACTAAAAGTAGAAATCCACATAATATGAAATTTTATCATAACAATCATATTGATTTTAGGGTTTATTCTTTTTCTTCTATTGTGACTAAACAAAAAGAATGAAACTCTTACAAGGTTTTATTAAATCTTTGTCTCATTTACTTCCCAATCTTTATAAATATCATTGTGTATTTTTAAAAACTCTATAACAATGGGTATATATTTTCAAATCTCTGTTATCCTGACATACATGTCTAATATATATTATTATGGTTCCTAGAACAGATATATGTGTGTGAAAAATAGTTCATTAAAAGGGTCTATTAAAATATTTTCATATAATTAGAGTGACAAATTTTCAAAAAGCTAGAAATAGAGGTGAAGTCTGTTTTGAGTAGAAGATTTTATATGTATGAGGATTATTGTTTTTTTTTTAAGAATTTTAAGGGTGAATCTTTAAGGTCCACAGAGATTTCATATCTCACTTTCTAATTTTGTTGGGCTTCTTTTGTACAAAATTTCTGAATTGCGTTGAAGGTAGAGATGAAGTCATATGTGTACTCTCATTTACCTAAATTTTATCTCATACACAAATGTTAGATATTTTAATAAAAATATATAAATATAAGAATAAGCAAATGAACAGGAAATTTAATACAGGCAATATGAGTTTATGAATTAACCTGAAAAACATTAAAGTTCATTTAAGCTTATATATATGTATATATTACATACATGTACATATATATTTATTTATAGATATACATTTACTTATAATTTAAATTAATTAATTTTATTTATTTATTCAAAATAAAGTCTTCTCTTATACAATACATCCCAACCACAGTTTTTTCTCCCTTCACTCCTTCTGGCTCCTGTCACCTCCTTTCTTCCCCAGATCCACTTCCCTTCCATTTCCTCTTCAGGAAAAAGTAGGCCTCTAAGAAATGACAGCCAAACATGAAAAAAACAAGATCTGATAAGACAAGAAAAAAGTCCTCATTTACAGGTTGGAAAAAAACAACCCAATAGGAGGAAATGAGTCTCAAGAGCAGGCAAGAGTCAGAGGCACAACCACGCCCATGATTAGGAGTCTCACAAGAACACCAGGCTAACAGCTATAATAATATGCATGTACAGAACCTGGTATAGACCCAGGTTGCTTGCCTTTACAGTCTCTGTGAGCCCATACAGGCCCTGATCAGTTGATTTGGTGGGCAATGTTCTCTTGTTGTCCTCCCCCTCTTCCATGGTGTTCCCAGAAGTCTGAAGGAAGAGACCCAATGGCAAAACCTAATTTGGACACCCTCTACTCCTCTCTATCCTGCTGGCATAGGATCTGCTGGCATAGGAAGCCTATATGGTGACTAATAGACCAGATATCAATCTATTAGCATAGTGGAATATTATTAGGAATCATTTCATTAATATTTATTTATTTATTTATTTATTTATTTATTTAGTCAGTCATGTTTGGTTCTACCCTAGCACTCTGGCACTCTGGGCTATCTAATCTTCTGTCCCTTGCCATCTAAGCAATATAGGATATGGAATCCCTCCCATGGCATAAGCCTCAATTTAAACCAAATACTTTTTGCCCACTTTCACATGTTTTATGCTACCATTGTCCCAGCATATCTTACAGGCAATTCAGATTGTAGGGGAAGGCATTTGTGATTCTGTTAGCACCTAGGTTTCTGTTTCCATACCCTGCAACATACCTTCTCAAGATAAAGAGACTAGGACATAGGGTGGAGGCTCCAAGTCTGCTTCAGTTCAACATCTCTACATTCAATGAGCTAAGTAGAAGTTGTCCTTGGCATTGGACCCCACTGGTAGTTGTCAGAGTGCAACCTTCTCTCCTACCATTAGCTTAGGTTGTTTAGGGGCCTCCATGGGACCTCCTTTGCAAACAACTCAACTGAACACAACCAAGTTCAATCATGGAAAACTTTATCTGCCAACAAAAGATGGCCAGCTCAAACTCCTTATCTTTCATTACTAAGAGTCCTCACTAGGGTCACTCTCATAGGTTCCAGGAAGTTTCCATTTCACTAGGTTTTTACATGGTTCCCAAATGTCCCCCTATTCCAGATGTCTTTCTCTGTACTCTATCCCTCCATACCCTCACACATATCTCTCTCATTCCTGTCCCAACCATTCCTGCTCCACACATAGAATGTATTCTATTTTCCCTTCCAAAGATCCATGCTTCTCCTCTATAGCACTCTTCGTTACCTAACCTCTCTTGTTCTGTGGGTTTCAGCCTGATTATCATTTACTTAACAGCTAATATCCACTTCCAAAGGAATGAATTCTGTATTTGGCTTTCTGAGTCTGGGCTACCTCAATCTGGATGATTGTTTTTTCTAGTTGCATCCATTTGTCTGCAAATGTTATGATGTTGTTTTCTTTGAACAGCCAAATAATACTCCATTGTGTAAATGTACCATGATTTCTTTATCCTTTCTTCAGTTGAGGGACTTCTAGGTTGTTTCCAATTTCTGACTATTATGAAGAGAGACACAATGAACATTGTTGACCAAATGTTTCTGTGGTAGGATGAAATATTCTTTGGGTATATGCCTAAGAGTGATATAGTTGGGTGGTGCGATATTTTATTTGCGCTCTAAAAATAAAGCTTGCTTGGGAATTAGAGGATAAAGTCAGCCCCTATATTAAACATAGAAGTCAGGCAGTGGTAGTACATGCCTTTAATCCTAGCATTTCAGGAGGCAGAGATTCATCTGGATCTCTGTGAGTTCAAGGCCACACTGGAAACAGAGCCAGGCATGGTGGCACATGCCTTTAATCCCAGCCCTAGCTAACCATAGGGGTCTGGAAGTCTGTACAGACAGACAAGAAGTGATAGAGTTGGCCAGAAAGAGGAAGTGATGTAGCTAGGCAGAGACAGAAGTAAGATGGAAGGGCACAGAAAGGTATATAAGACATGAGTATATAGGAAGTAGCTCTCTTGGGCTGAGGATTTCCTAGTGCCTCTGGGTTTTTTTTTTCCTTTTATTTTATTTTACAACACCATTCAGTTCTACATATCAGCCACGGATTCCCTTGTTCTCCCCCATCCTGTCATCTTCCCCTTCGCCCCACCCCCCTATTCCCACCCCCTCCAGGGCAAAGCCTCCCATGAGGACTGAGATCAACCTGGTAGACTCAGTCCAGGCAGGTTCAGTCCCCTCCTCCTAGACTGAGCCAAGTATCCCTGCATAAGCCCCAGGTTTCAAACAGCCAACTTATGCAATGAGCACGGGACCTGGTACCACTGCCTAGATGCCTCCCAAACAGATCAAATCAATCAACTGTCTCACCTATTCAGAGGGCCTGATCTATAATAAGGCCAGTTAGCAATTTGTGTTACAGTTGGGTCTTCAGGTAGATGTTTCCAGTTTTCTGAGGAACCACCATATTGATTTCCATAGTGGTTGTACAAGTTTGGACTCTCACAAGCCATAGAAGAGTGTTCTCCTTGCTACACATCCTTGTCAGCATGAGCTGTCACTTGTGGTTTTGGTATTACCAATTTTGACAGGTATAAAATCAAATTTCAAAGTAGTTTTGATTTACATTTCTCCGATGGGTAAGGATGTTTAACATTTCTTCAAATGTTTCTAAACCATTTGAGATACCTCTACTCAGAATACTGTTTAGATCTGTACCCCCTATTTTTATTGGAATATTTGTAGGTTTTGTTTTTATTTTATTTTTATTCTTTA